GATTCGTTGCTAATCAGGAGTCAAAACAATATGGCCTGCTGACATCACGTGGTATTCTAGCCACACCCACTATCGTGTCATAAAGTGTCACATCCAGACCTTACCACGCCCCTCCCTCCACATCAGCAAGGTTTATTTTTATGCTCAATACTATAACAACCTTTCATGCATAACTAGTTGGGTACGCTTAAGCCAACTGTACTCAGACAAACATACAGTCACATTACAGATACTACATGACATTACGAGAAAGCACACTTAAAACATCTTATTCTATATAAACAACCTTCAATAAACCCCCTTTCCCTCTAATTTAAAAAATCAGATACGCAGATTGACCTATGTGTATATTTATAAGCTAACGGGATCCCAAAAACACACATATGATTTATAGTACTTCATATACTTTATAGTACCTCATATACATAAAAACACGGGGTAAACAGCAGATTAGGTTATAACTCATTAAATTTCATTACATGTTTGTAAAAAAAAAACAAACCCATGAAATTAATTCATATGACATCAACCGAACCTATTCTACCATTCCTGGTAATCAAACATTCATTCTTCATTAATTGTAATATACTTGAAGTAATTAGCATTCACGTACGATTAATTTATGAACGGTTTTTATCACATACCAAGGAAGGGCAATGAGAAATAGTTTGAATCGATGAACGTTACATATAAATAATTTAACATAATATATCGTCAATAACGATACTTTGCCTTTTAAGCTATGGCGATGAAGTATCGTTATCTGCGATACGACAGGTATGAGTATTTAGGCTTGGGTAATCGATGCGTGCCGGCTAGACATAAGAGTGAGTGGTAACGAAAGCATGTAAACAATGTGTTAAAAATATGTGAAGACATGCAAACACTCACCGTGGATGTGTTGACTGTGACGTAACTTGCGAGGGGGTAGGGGATGGGTTGGATGAAGAAAACAGTCCACTGTGTTAAAGATTTTAATATGTCCAAAATGCTCGAAAATAATTTACATTTTTTAGTCCTGATCGAAAATAAAGGGATAGCACTCTGGAATAATGTTGAACTCGACTCACCCTCGTCGGGGATACTACACACTTACACGCGAACACATCCTCCCAGCACGAGGGAGGGCGAGCAGACGAGGACAGCCGTGCTGTGCAGTTGTCGCAGGCGGCACGACAACACAGGCTCGCTCACGGCACAGGCTACACACGTCGCGGTCTTTCACTACTCACGCACGCACGCGCGCGGCGGAGGAGCTAAATAGGTTACAGAATGAACGAGGGGGAGGGGTGGAAGAAATTTTGTTCAGCCCAGAAGAAGCGTGTGAAAAACGGGTTATTACTCAACATGACATCACGGAAAGGGAGGAGGAGGGGGGGGGGGGCTACACGCACTCACTCACGCGCATGCATGCACGCATGTGCATATCAGAGCTCGCGGCTATTTAAAAAAAAATACAACGCGGTTAATTTAATTTTACCGTCCAGATTCGCAGACAATAAAATCCTTGCTCCTACATCCAATTATCGCGTAACATAAATTGTCTGTTGTTTCCCCACCCCCCAGGAGCGTAAGGTGGGGGTGGTGAGGATGGCCCCAGGCGACGTTTTGTCTTATATACATGAGTTCAATTTAGTGTATATATAAAATCTAGAGTCCGCCCTATAAATATTTAAATAAAAATGTAAACACAGCTAGCTAACCATTACTAATTTAGCTTTGTGGAACAGCTTTGGAAGAAAAGACCAATTAACCCTTGCGGAACTTTTTTTTGTTTTGGCTTTATTTTTAGACACAACAATGCATTCCCAATCACCTTTGTATTATTAATGAAGTAATTTTAAACATGCATGCGTGCGTGGGGGAGGATATGGTGGCGCCCGCATACTTTAAACATGAGGGGTGTAGGGCTGGGGAATAGCGGGGAGAGAGGGGGGGTCTTTCATTCACAGGAAGAGTAAGAAGAAATTGACCTTAATTTAAAACTAGAGTATTCGCGCCATGATATTGTCGACAGAGAACAGTTATAAATAAATAATTCAGATGAGTAATTCGTTGTTAATTGTTTCGCATTAAAAATTACAAGATTGTCTGATTAGCTATTCTATTGGGTGACTACCCTCCTCGGTTATTGAGATGGATGACATTAACCTTTAACCCTAAACGATAACCTTAAACCCTATCAGAAAATCAGGTCCCCGCTGTTTGTATTGATAGCGTTAAACACAGGTCCAATGTGTCTTGGAGGGTGGAGGTGGGAGGGGGTGGGGAGTTGGGGCGGACTAAAATTTCCTGGAGGGGGGGGGGGGCGGACATTGTTAAAAGTTTATATTTTCTGTATAAATTCCATTTCGTTTTGTGGGGGGGGGGGGGCGGTCGACTTTCTTCGGGGAAAGAAGAGACTCTGCTTAGGTCTGATACGGTTCGTTCTCTCGATCCCTTACCTTTGGTTATACCAATGAGTGATAGTGTTAGCATACACTGTTAGTGAACTATAAACTAAAGCCTGAATCATTGTATCTTTCTATACCTTAACTGCGGTATTGGCAGCATTAACTCTAAGCTATACATTTACACCAACATCTCACTATCTCTCTCTCTCTCTCATTGACTCTCTCTGCTCCACCCTCTACCCCTCCGTCTACTTCTCCCCCCTCCTCTTCCCTCTCTCCTCTCTCTCTCTGGCTTTATCTCTCCACCCCTCCCTGCTCCCTCCACCCCCTCCCTCTACTCATCCCCTCCCTATTCCCCCTCTCCTCTCTCTCTTGATTTATCTCTACCCCTCCTTCTCCCTCTCCCTCTCCCCCGCTCTCTCTCTCTCTCTGTATATATATATATATATATATATATATATATATATATATATATATATATATATATATATATATATATATATATATAAATAAATCTATAATCTCTAACCCGTGCTTAGCCCTAACCCCTAACATAAAGCCATGACTCACCTAAACACGACACATAAGACAATGAAGAAATTAATCCCGACACAAGTATCAGTGAGCAGTTTCTAAGCAGGTAAGTCCTAGGTGCAGTACGATTGCAGATGTGAAACGTCGAGGGTGGGGGTGTGGTGGGCTGGGGATGCATTAAGGTAGAGGTGTATGGGGTTGTATGAGGGGGTGGGGTGGGTAGTTACCTTGATGACAAAGAGAAAAGTAAGACTCGCCAGAAGGAAGATATTCAGGGGAGGGAAGTGTAACAGATGGGAGGTATAAGTAGTGGGGGGGGGGAAGGGAGGTATGTTTAGAGAGGGGGTAAGATAAAAAAATGTTAACGCCTGCTGATAATCAGAGTGAGAAAATACCAGAACATGACGGGTAAGATCCCTGCTTTAAGTCAGGCTGGGTTTCCAGACAGTAGGCACTAGAGTTATGATAAATGGCGATATAATATGGTAGAAAACTCGGTATATAATAAGTATCTTGGATGTTTTATTAGCTGCATTGTATTCTATTAAGGCGATAATTAAACAATGAGTAATAACATTTTTAAACAAAACATGAATAAAAAAGTTAAGGTGTAATAAGATTGAAATATAAATTGTGATTAAGGTCTAGTTAAGTTAATTCCTTGCAAGGATTAGGGTTAAGATAAAATTTGAGTTAGAACCTGCCTGCGTAGGTCAAGGTAAACAGGAAGTAACAAAAAAAAATTGCTAGATGAAAATTTAAAAATGATGAATTCTAATAAATTGGATGATTCGGTTTGCAGTTTACAAACTTGAACTGAAAAAAATTACCTAAAGGGGTCAGAGGGTTGAGAGGGATCGTACGATAGGGGTCGTTACTTTTTAACAACCGGTCTTGGTTTAACCTGGGTCCTATGCTAGTTTAATAAAGTAATGTTCCCTGGGGCAAGTGATCTCGGTATATAAAGGGTTAGCGGGGTCTTGTCCGGATTCGAACTCGAGACCCTCGGGTTAGCAGTCTAGCGCTCTACGTCTAGGTCACACCGTCCCGCTTAGTGTTATGGCAAATACTGCTTTAAAAAAATCCTATGCCAATGTATTCGTTTAGCTAGCTTCTTTAAGGACACATAAGCAGCAAATTATGGCTTGCATAAAAAACGTACTCCAGAATTAATCCTAGATGTCGCCCTAATCCCTATCCTAACCCCGGTTCTTAACCTAGCTCTTGACGTCAACACAAATAAAATCCTTAAGATAACCTTAACCCATACGGCTTGATGCATCGTTCAAATTTCAAATACAAGCGTCTAAAAACACTAAAAAATACACCTCTTTAATTGACCCCCACCCCAACGATAAAACTTTACTGCGCAAGCAGGATTTCGGTATTGTGAGGTGGAGTGGGGATTGTAAAAGTATACACACACCCACCAACCCACACACCCACACCCTCCATACACAGAGGTGGGAATGGTGGGGTCCTTTAGGGGGCGATGTTGGGGGTCCTATCTTCCCATGCCAACCCGCTGTCTACGCTACTGACACAACCCCACACACATACATACATACAGACAGACGTACGTACACACGAGTCTCTGCCATCTGCCGGCACTAAAGCTTATCTTACCCGACTATCTCTCCCTCCCACCGCCGTTACAAAGTCTTTATCCTCACAGGTAACTTCCATCTGACCCCCCCACCCCCTCCCCCACCATCATCACCTGCCTAGTCATACGTTACGCTCCCCTACCCACCCCTCAACATTAAACTTACGTATCTTGCTTTAACTTAAACCGTCTTTTTTTTAAAAACTGAAACGTACCGTCTTCTTCTACCTTGTCTTTAGATTATATAAAAAAGTATAAACATCCCCCCACACCTCTCACTCTGCCACACTCCACCTCACCCTTCACACTTCCCACCTTTCCATGACCAACTGCCCCACTCCACCTCACTCCACCTCACTCCACCTCACCCTTCACACTTCCCACCTTTCCATGACCAACTGCCTCACTCCACCTCACCCTTTACACTTCCCACACTCCACCTCACCCTTCACACTTCCCGCCTTTCCATGACCAACTGCCACACTCCACCTCACCCTTCACACTTCCCACCTTTCCATGACCAACTGCCACACTCCACCTCACCCTTCACACTTCCCACACTCCACCTCACCCTTCACACTTCCCACCTTTCCATGACCAACTGCCACACTCCACCTCACCCTTCACACTTCCCACCTTTCCATGACCAACTGCCTCACTCCACCTCACTCTTCACACTTCCCACACTCCACCTCACCCTTCACACTTCCCACACTCCACCTCACCCTTTACACTTCCCACCTTTCCATGACCAACTGCCACACTCCACCTCACCCTTCACACTTCCCACACTCCACCTCACCCTTCACACTTCCCACACTCCACCTCACCCTTTACACTTCCCACCTTTCCATGACCAACTGCCACACTCCACCTCACCCTTCACACTTCCCACACTCCACCTCACCCTTCACACTTCCCACCTTTCCATGACCAACTGCCACACTCCACCTCACCCTTCACACTTCCCACCTTTCCATGACCAACTGCCTCACTCCACCTCACTCTTCACACTTCCCACACTCCACCTCACCCTTCACACTTCCCACACTCCACCTCACCCTTTACACTTCCCACCTTTCCATGACCAACTGCCACACTCCACCTCACTCTTCACACTTCCCACACTCCACCTCACCCTTTACACTTCCCACCTTTCCATGACCAACTGCCTCACTCCACCTCACTCTTCACACTTCCCACACTCCACCTCACCCTTCACACTTCCCACACTCCACCTCACCCTTTACACTTCCCACCTTTCCATGACCAACTGCCACACTCCACCTCACCCTTCACACTTCCCACACTCCACCTCACCCTTCACACTTCCCGCCTTTCCATGACCAACTGCCACACTCCACCTCACCCTTCACACTTCCCACCTTTCCATGACCAACTGCCACACTCCACCTCACCCTTCACACTTCCCACCTTTCCATGACCAACTGCCACACTCCACCTCACCCTTCACACTTCCCACCTTTCCATGACCAACTGCCACACTCCACCTCACCCTTTACACTTCCCACCTTTCCATGACCAACTGCCACACTCCACCTCACCCTTCACACTTCCCACCTTTCCATGACCAACTGCCTCACTCCACCTCACCCTTCACACTTCCCACACTCCACCTCACCCTTTACACTTCCCACCTTTCCATGACCAACTGCCACACTCCACCTCACTCTTCACACTTCCCACACTCCACCTCACCCTTTACACTTCCCACCTTTCCATGACCTACTGCCTCACTCCACCTCACTCTTCACACTTCCCACACTCCACCTCACCCTTCACACTTCCCACACTCCACCTCACCCTTTACACTTCCCACCTTTCCATGACCAACTGCCACACTCCACCTCACCCTTCACACTTCCCACACTCCACCTCACCCTTCACACTTCCCGCCTTTCCATGACCAACTGCCACACTCCACCTCACCCTTCACACTTCCCACCTTTCCATGACCAACTGCCACACTCCACCTCACCCTTCACACTTCCCACCTTTCCATGACCAACTGCCACACTCCACCTCACCCTTCACACTTCCCACCTTTCCATGACCAACTGCCACACTCCACCTCACCCTTCACACTTCCCACCTTTCCATGGCCAACTGCCACACTCCACCTCACCCTTCAAACTTCCCACCTTTCCATGACCAACTCCACACTCCACCTCACCCTTCACACTTCCCACACTCCACCTCACCCTTCACACTTCCCACCTTTCCATGACCAACTGCCACACTCCACCTCACCCTTCACACTTCCCACACTCCACCTCACCCTTCACACTTCCCACACTCCACCTCACCCTTTACACTTCCCACCTTTCCATGACCAACTGCCACACTCCACCTCACCCTTCACACTTCCCACCTTTCCATGACCAACTGCCACACTCCACCTCACCCTTCACACTTCCCACCTTTCCATGACCAACTGCCACACTCCACCTCACCCTTCACACTTCCCACCTTTCCATGACCAACTGCCACACTCCACCTCACCCTTCACACTTCCCACCTTTCCATGACCAACTGCCTCACTCCACCTCACTCTTCACACTTCCCACACTCCACCTCACCCTTCACACTTCCCACACTCCACCTCACCCTTTACACTTCCCACCTTTCCATGACCAACTGCCACACTCCACCTCACCCTTCACACTTCCCACCTTTCCATGACCAACTGCCACACTCCACCTCACCCTTCACAGTTCCCACCTTTCCATGACCAACTGCCTCACTCCACCTCACTCTTCACACTTCCCACACTCCACCTCACCCTTCACACTTCCCACACTCCACCTCACCCTTCACACTTCCCACCTTTCCATGACCAACTGCCACACTCCACCTCACCCTTCACACTTCCCACCTTTCCATGACCAACTGCCTCACTCCACCTCACTCTTCACACTTCCCACACTCCACCTCACCCTTCACACTTCCCACACTCCACCTCACCCTTTACACTTCCCACCTTTCCATGACCAACTGCCACACTCCACCTCACCCTTCACACTTCCCACCTTTCCATGACCAACTGCCACACTCCACCTCACCCTTCACAGTTCCCACCTTTCCATGACCAACTGCCTCACTCCACCTCACTCTTCACACTTCCCACACTCCACCTCACCCTTCACACTTCCCACACTCCACCTCACCCTTCACACTTCCCACCTTTCCATGACCAACTGCCTCACTCCACCTCACCCTTCACACTTCCCACACTCCACCTCACCCTTTACACTTCCCACCTTTCCATGACCAACTGCCACACTCCACCTCACCCTTCACACTTCCCACACTCCACCTCACCCTTTACACTTCCCACACTCCACCTCACCCTTCACACTTCCCACACTCCACCTCACCCTTCACACTTCCCACACTCCACCTCACCCTTCACACTTCCCACACTCCACCTCACTCTACACACTTCCCACACTCCACCTCACCCTTCACACTTCCCACCTTTCCATGACCAACTGCCACACTCCACCTCACCCTTCACACTTCCCACCTTTCCATGACCAACTGCCACACTCCACCTCACCCTTCACACTTCCCACCTTTCCATGACCAACTGCCACACTCCACCTCACCCTTCACACTTCCCACCTTTCCATGACCAACTGCCACACTCCACCTCACCCTTCACACTTCCCACCTTTCCATGACCAACTGCCTCACTCCACCTCACTCTTCACACTTCCCACACTCCACCTCACCCTTCACACTTCCCACACTCCACCTCACCCTTTACACTTCCCACCTTTCCATGACCAACTGCCACACTCCACCTCACCCTTCACACTTCCCACCTTTCCATGACCAACTGCCACACTCCACCTCACCCTTCACAGTTCCCACCTTTCCATGACCAACTGCCTCACTCCACCTCACTCTTCACACTTCCCACACTCCACCTCACCCTTCACACTTCCCACACTCCACCTCACCCTTCACACTTCCCACCTTTCCATGACCAACTGCCTCACTCCACCTCACTCTTCACACTTCCCACACTCCACCTCACCCTTTACACTTCCCACCTTTCCATGACCAACTGCCACACTCCACCTCACCCTTCACACTTCCCACACTCCACCTCACCCTTTACACTTCCCACACTCCACCTCACCCTTCACACTTCCCACACTCCACCTCACCCTTCACACTTCCCACACTCCACCTCACCCTTCACACTTCCCACACTCCACCTCACCCTTCACACTTCCCACACTCCACCTCACCCTTCACACTTCCCACCTTTCCATGACCAACTGCCACACTCCACGATTCCCATTTCACCTATGATAGTCGGACCGTTACCATAACTGAATTAGATGATATGTTCCTGGGTTCGCATTTTGTTTGTCTGTAGTAACACGCGTTGCCCCAGCCATCCGCCCGGTTCCAGCAGTAAAACTTTAAGAGCGGTCGTTGAACAGGGTAGACCGCAGCAAGAGTTCAAGGTCAGGTGTATTGTGGGTTCCAGTTGAAGCACAACACTGGGTGCTACCTGTATCGTTACAGCGGGTTACACCTGCGGTACGTTTAGTTCTGGGATCTCGGATCTGGTTGAGCGAGTTGTTAGAGTAAAGTCAGCTCTAATGAGTACTCGGCGTTATTTAGTAGGATCTCGGCTGATTTAACAAAAAAAAAGTTTTAATTTACACTTAAAAAAAAAAGCGAACCGCCCGTGGTCAAATTTTTTAAATCTAAGCGAAAAAAAAAATTCAAATTCCGTTGATGAATCACTCGATGCAGGCAATCTTTATTTTAACATGGGCATCTGTGGACACAAATTTTATTTTTAAATATTCAAATATCTCCTTATTTATGCTGTATAAACTTAATCGCTTAGCCTAACGATAGAGCGCTAACCCGAAAGTTTCGAGTTCGAATCCGGGTTCAAATCAGTAAAACGTCCCTAAGTCCGTCCAGCTTTGAAGGGAACTCACGACAAGTTAAGGAAAGTAACGGCGGCTGGGAAAAGTGCTGACCACAATGTCCCTTTATATGCCGAGGTCACAGAAACAGGTGAACTCTACTTCACTTGCACTAAGTATAGTCAGGTTCGTAAAGAAAACTTTACCTCCCTACTTGGCAACTCTGCTGTAATTGGAAAATCGATCTCCAACGATGTTTATCATTCAAATTGCAACATAAAAAAAAAAAAAAAACAAAAAAAAAAAAAACAAAAACGGATACACTGTTTACATATTATTATTAAGTGACAACCCTAAAACATGTTTACAATTTTATCAACATCCCGATACATTGCAGGACAACCCGAATTCTAGTTTTGCAATGGAATGACAACCCGGTACTTTGTTTACATATAGAATGACAACCCGATGCTTTGTTTACAAACTGAATGACAACCCGATTCCTTGTTTACAAACTGAATGACAACCCGATTCCTTGTTTACAAACTGAATGACAACCCGATACCTTGTTTACAAACTGAATGACAACCCGATTCCTTATTTACAAACTGAATGACAACCCGATACCTTGTTTACAAACTGAATGACAACCAAATGACAAACCAATACTTTGTTTACAAATAGAATGACAACCTGATACATTGTTTACAAATAGAATGACAACCCGATACATTGTTTACAAACTGAACGACAACCCGATACCTTGTTTACAAACTAAATGACAACCCGATACCTTGCTGACTCATCGAATGACCACTCAATTACCATCCCCTAAATTACACGTGAAAATATGTTCGAAACTTGAGCTGAATTCACTCATTCGGCGCAGCAACGATAACTCTGTTTTGTACAACTTCCGGTTGAAACCGGAAACACGCGTAACAGGGGCGATCATTGCGCAGTTTAAAAGCCCCCACCCCGCGGTTTCGTATTTCAAACACGAGCGCCTCCCCTATCTGGTCAGGTATGTCAAGGTGGCTGGTGCTGAGTTATCTGATCTTGATTTCTGTTTTTTTTTAAAATCTTTGTGGTGTGGGGTATTCACGTATGGTATGGTAGACAGCAAGAGGGCGGGCAGTGTTTCTTCCAGACTTTTTTTCTCCGGGGGGGGGGGGGGGGGGGGGGCAATTGATATTTTCGGGGGGGGGGGGGGGGCGGTCACAACATTTTCCGGGGGGGGGGGGCACTAGTAAAAGTATATGTTTCCTATGTAAATTCCATCGCGTAGGCGTAGGGGGTAGGCTTTCTTTGAGAGGGGGGGGGGGGGGGCGAAGAGATGCCTGGAAGCAGTGGCGTAGCGAGGTCGGGTGTCACCCGGTGCGGCACTTAATGGTGTCACCCCCCAGAGGCATAGCGACCCATGCCCGGGGACAAACTTTCAAACTTTCGATTTGCACCCCTCCCCTCAAACTTTCGATTTGCACCCCACCCTCAAACTTTCGATTTGCACTCCCCCCCTCCCCCCCCCCCCCCCCGCAAGTTTTTCTTTATATATTTTACTATTTTTTGCCTTGGTGTCACCTCCCTAAATGGTATCACCCGGTGCGTTCCGCACCCCCCCCCCCACCGTCCCCCCTCGCTACGCCTCTGCCTGGAAGGAACTCTGGGGGCGGGGGACTAAGTTAGAGCAGACCGCTGGGTGGAAAGAATTCAGAAAAATAGCCGAAAGCAACCCTTCCAATGATTGTTCTGTTCATCTTGTTATAGATAAAAAGACAACAGTTTGGTACAGTGGTTCCTAACTTTTTGGAGGTACCGAACCCTAACCATTTCATATGCGGTTAGCACCCCTCCCCCTTACCCACTAACTCACCCTCCACTTATGTGTGGGCTTATGTGTGGGCTTATGTGTGGGCTTATGTGTGGGCTTATGTGTGGGCTTATGTGTGGGCTTATGTGTGGGCTTATGTGTGGGCTTATGTGTGGGCTTATGTGTGGGCTTATGTGTGGGCTTACGTGTGGGATTATGAGTGGGTTATGTGTGGGCTTATGAGCGGGCTTATGTGCGGGCTTATGTGTGGGCGTATGTGTGGGCTTATGTGTGGGCTTATGTGTGGGCTTATGTGTGGGCTTATGTGTGGGCTTATGTGTGGGCTTATGTGTGGGCTTATGTGTGGGCTTATGTGTGGGCTTATGTGTGGGCTTATGTGTGGGCGTATGTGTGGGATTATGTGTGGGCTTATGTGTGGGCTTATGTGTGGGATTATGTGTGGGCTTATGTGTGGGCTTATGTGTGGGCTTATGTGTGGGCTTATGTGTGGGCTTATGTGTGGGCTTATGTGTGGGCTTATACATGGGCTTATGTGTGGGCTTATGTGTGGGCTTATGTGTGGGCTTATGTGTGGGCTTATGTGTGGGCTTATGTGTGGGCTTATACATGGGCTTATGTGTGGGCTTATGTGTGGGCTTATGTGTGGGCTTATGTGTGGGCTTATGTGTGGGCTTATGTGTGGGCTTATACATGGGCTTATGTGTGGGCTTATGTGTGGGCTTATGTGTGGGCTTATGTGTGGGCTTATGTGTGGGCTTATGTGTGGGCTTATGTGTGGGCTTATGTGTGGGCTTATGTGTGGGCTTATGTGTGGGCTTATGTGTGGGCTTATGTGTGGGCTTATGTGTGGGCTTATGTGTGGGCTTATGTGTGGGATTATGTGTGGGCTTATGTGTGGGCTTATGTGTGGGCTTATGTGTGGGCTTATGTGTGGGCTTATGTGTGGTCTTATGTGTGGGCTTATACATGGGCTTATGTGTGGGCTTTACTCTCCTTATATATAGTCTTTGCTATCCCCCCCTTTCCCTCTCTCCTTCACAGATCACCCTCGCTTATGTAATTTGTAATCAGATATAGCTCATGTAAAGAGAATTTCTCTCGCGTTTTTTTAAGCCCTCGTGGCAATTTTTTTTTTTGTAATATAGCTCATATAAGGCGCCGGTCAGTCGAGGTCAGTTTTGACCCTCTCTTCGTGGACTTACGGCACTCCGGCACCGGCCCCCGTGTTCTGTTGTTCCAAGGCTGGAGCCTGCCAAATTTGAAGCGCCTGAGGCGCCAGGGAGTATCCTTTCGGGCACCCGACCACTTTGCTTTATATATATATATATTCCATATAATTTTATAAGTATGTGTATACGCATGTGTATACGCATTCACATATATTTTTTCTCTGGATGTATTTAATTTTTACCCCCCCCCCCCATACATGGATTAACACATACGTTATTACGATTCTAAACAAAACCGTTTACCTCCGGCATATTTTGCAACGTTGAGTTAATGTAACTTCCCCCCCCCCCCCACTCACCCCCTCCCCACTCCTGAGGCGATTGCTTTAAACTGTGCTCAGATAATACTAACGATTTTTATCTATAGTCGGTTATAAATACAGCTTGATGTAGCAAGTTTTCATTACGTTTACGTCATAGTGTCAACCCCCCCCCACCCCCACCCTCTCTACCCTTGTCGGGCTTTGTCAACTTTGCTCTTAAAAGACCATTTAACTCACTCTAATTAATCACTTAATTAAATGGAATTATCATTTTTCTGTTTATATTTTGCTATTTTTTGCTTTGATGTCACCCTCTCCCCTAAATGGTGTCACCCGGTGCGGTCCGCGCCCCTGCCCCCCCCCCCCCCTCCCTCGCGACGCCTATGAATGTAATTATAACAATTAGAGACCTAATTTGATGGTCTTTAACTTAGCTAGTGAGTTAGGAAGGGAGGGGGGGGGGGGGGGGGTAAGAAAAGGTCTTCCAACTCTCAAAGCGAAAGAAAAATAAAGTGATCTAGTAAATTTAAGTACTGGATATTCGTTGAAAACTAGTAATTGAGAACGCTACATTTTACTTTAAATAGAAAATTTACATGTTTATTATAAGGGGTTGATAAAATACTATTAGCTTTTCTTTAATTTAATTAAAAACATAAATGATAAATTATAGACATTATGTTAGACTTATGTACACCACATAAACTATTCAAAGCTATTGACGTTCTATAAACTGTGGCGCTGTTATCGAGTCAGTGGAAATAACAGATTTTAAACGAAATCTGGATATTTTTTTTGTTATTTCCCTTTTATTTGAAAATTGTAATAGCGTTTTGTGTTGCCCTTTTAACCTTTTATCCATTTGTCTCTACGCATTTCTCGTTCATGAAATAAAGAACAAAAGTAAATGAGCTGTTCGTTACAGATTCAAGAATAAAATCCTACATTCGTGTTGTAACTAGTAGGCTACTAGTAAAATTTACTCTTATTTTTGCTTAAATCATTTGTTATTTAACTCACTAAATATAAATAATTAAACAAATCATAAACGAAATTATTAAAACGTAACTATATTCAGATTTTTTAAGGATATTAAATAACTAAAAATAACTTGGTGAAAAA